CTACGTACTCCGGGAGTATGTTAATATTTTTATTATTATTTATATTAATAATATTCTTATCTTCTCCCCCGACTTTAAAATATATAAAAAATATATTTATATAATATTCTAAAAGTTTTAAAACGCTAAACTATATACCGAACCCTCTAAGTACGAATTCTATATATAAAAAGTAGACTTTTTTAGATATACTATTATATTAAAATAAATTTATATATAAATATTAAAAATAAAAGTAATTAGGGACTAGCCTATACTATAAAACGTTAAGGACGTATAAGGATTCTTAGGATTCGTTAATTTTTATTAACGATTCCTTAAGGATTATACTAATATAATTAGACCCCTTAATAACTTAATATAAAAAGATACCCCCTTTATTTAAGATCCTAAGTATAAAAAAGTATTTATTAAAGTTAAGAATATAGTCGTTTCTAAACTAGTTATTATAATCCTAGACTTTTAAAAACCTTTCGAAGTTAAGACCGATACTTTAAATTTTATTATAAGAGCGGTTTTAAAATAATAAAATAAATAAAAAAAGCTTTACTTATATTATTTCTACTCTAAAGCATTCTATAAAATAGAATTAAATTAATAAATTTATAATAAAGAACTAATAATAATTATTAAAGTATTTCGAGAATAGAAACTATAGTTATTTAGAACTAAGTACGAAGTTATAGTCTATATAAATTATAAGAACCTCGCAAACTTTATAATAAATAAGAATCTAAATAAATAATAAGTTAAATAGAGCGAATTTCTATTTAAATATAACTTCCGAATTATTTATTAAAAAAGTTTAGAAAATAGTAGAGTAAACGCTCTTAATAAAAGACCTAACTACGAAATCGCGGTCCCTAAAAAAATATAAGTTATTTTTAAATAAAAAAAAGATAATAGCCTTATACTAATTACGAAGCTTTTTATAATAGCTAAAAAAATTAATACTAGCTTAATTAAAAAGATAACCCCTAAGCTTATTATAAAAATTTATAATATACCGGTATATAGTTACTAAGGAATTATTAAAACGTAAAAACGGATTTGCTAGTACTATAATAAATCCGCTATACGTACTAAAATTATAAAAGTAATTAAAAACTACGTAACTTATAAAAAAAGTAAAAATAGCCTATATAAGCCTTATAACGAGCTATAACTATTATAACTACTAATAAAAGTATAGTAATTAATTATATAGGACTTTATTATTAAACTACTAAAGTCTAGAGAACTATTTACTAAAATATAATACGATAGTATTTTAGTTATAGTCGATCGACTTACTAAGTTTATATATTTTATTCTTTATAAAGAATTAAGTACTATAGAAGACTTAGTATATATATTTACTAAGGTTATACTTTTGAACTATAGTTTACTAAAAAAAATTATTTTTAATAGAGATAAGCTATTTATTTTAAAGTTTTAGAAATCCCTAATTTCGTAACTTAGTATAGATTATAAACTATTAATATTATTTTATTTATAAACCGATAGATAGATAAAAAGGATTAACTAAATCCTTAAAATATACTTTTATTATTATATAAACTACGACTAGGATAATTAAGTAGTACTTTTACTAATAGCCTAGTTCGTATATAATAATATAATTAATAAAAGTATAAAAGAATTTCCGTTTTATTTTAATTACGGATTCTAACTAATAGCGTATAAAGAAGTATAATAAAAATTATAAACTATAAAAACTATAATAAATATAAGTAAACTTAAAGAGATTTATAAATAAGCCTTACTAAACCTCGAGTTTATATAATAATATATAAAAAAAAACGCGGATAGATTAAGGATTAGAAAACTATTTTTAAAAAAGGGGAATAGTGCCTATTTTTTTTATTATAATATTAAAACAAAATAACTAAGTAATAAATTAAATTATAAAAAACTTAGACCTTTCGAGATTATTAAAAAAGTCTTATTAGTTAATTACGAATTAAGATTACTAAATACGATATAATATTATCTCGTTTTTTATATCTTATTACTCGAACTTATATTAAGAGGTTTATATATAGAAAATTATATTATTATTAAACTAAACTAATTAGAGTACGAAGTTAAACGAGTTATTAATTATAAAATTAAAAATAAAATATAGGAATTTTTAATTAAATAAAAAAACTACGGATACGAAAAAAATATATAGGAACTTATTACGAACCTCTAGAACTTTTAAAAATCCCTTTTAAAATACTAAAGTTAAAATTAAAACTAAAATTCCTAGCTATTATAGTATCTTAGTTAATTATTTTAAAAGTATTACTAGACTATGCCTCTTACGTAGTAACTAACTTATCCTCGTTAATAATATTAAGAGGATTAGGAATTACCTTTCCCTTTTTAAATACTATCTTTTTTTCTTTTTAAAAACGATCTAATTTTAATAAAAATTAATTTATTTTAGCTTATATACGATATAAGGCCTCTACCCGTTTTTAAAAAAGAAGCTCTTCTATTTTTTTTTTATATTTTAACTTATTAACTTTAAATAAAAAACGATTTATTATAAATATAATTAATATAAAAAATACTAATAAAAAAAGAAAAAAACTTACGATTGTATATAGTACTAATAGTCGTATTATAAAAACGACTACGACGTATATACTTATAATACCTTAATTTACTTTCTAATATCTTATACCTTCGCCCCGATAAATAATAAAATAAGTAAGGTATTACGATTTCAAATCCTCGCTCTTTAATTTCGAGAATAAGCTTTAGTTAACGATATATTAAAAATTTAGTAAATATCTTAATATTTTTAAAAAAATTACTTAACGAGCCCTAACTTAGGCTATAACGACTTATTTATAAGTTTATAAAAATAAGACTTTTAAAAAAGAGACCTAATATTGCGACTTAATATATATAACTAAGACTAGGGCCCGCCCCGTAAGCTTATAATAACTATAGTATATTATATATATAAAAATATAAAAATATAGGGTAACTTTTATAAAATAAAAGAACTATAAATAAGTTATATATAAATAAGAAATAGTAATTACGTAATAAGGTAATTATTATAATTACTCTAAATAATCGCTTATTAATATTTATTAAGCAATTACCTAACGAATAAAAGTAATTATTAATAAAGGATATATTTATAAATAGATTTATATATAGTATAAACTTAAGCCGGGCTTAAGAATAGACTTTTTATAGCTTTTTTAATAATTAACTTAGTATTAGATCTTACGATTATTTTTAGCTATTTTTACTAAGAACCCTTTTTAATAAGCTTATAATTAATTACTAAAGCCTTATTTATTTTACGACTTATAAATATAGCTTTAGGGAAGCTATTTATAACTATAATACTATTTACTTAGTACTCATAGCCTTAATTTTTATTAATATACTTATTACGACTAGCTAGCTATAATATATTATTTCTAATATTACCTAAAACTCTATTTAAACTAAATAAATTTACTAAATAAATTTACTAAATAAATCTATTAAATAAACCTATTAATATATAAATTATTACTTAAATAGTCTACTCTTAGTATATAGTTAGTAATTAATAAGCTAAAACTCTCTAAAAATACTCGTTAATAAGTCTGCCCCTCTTAGGCTAGGTACCCTCGGCTAGCTTAACGCTATAGCTATCGTAGCTAACGTAAATACGCTTAAGAATTAGTAAAATACTTTTTAATAATATAGAATTTAGCTAAGTAATAATATAAACACTATAAATAGCTAAGCTAATACGGACGTTAAAATCTAATATATTAATATTAGCTTAAAAATTATACTTTACGGAGTTAGAAATTCTTTTAATATAGGCTATATTATAAATATAAAGGAATATATAAGGGGCCCTCTAACTTTTAATAAAAAGGAGTATATAATATAGGATCTAGTTACTTATATAGGCTAGTACTAAGAGGTTTTATATATATTAAAGTAAGTATAGCTCGCCCTCTAAACGGGTAATAAAAGGTTAGGAGTTTTAATTAGTAATTAGGTATAGAGCGTAATATACTTAGTTTTCCTTAATATATAATATATAGTACGGCCCCGGCGGATTGCTCTATCGGGGGGGCGAATTTATTATATATAATAATATAATTTATTACTCGTTAATTAAAAATAAGTAAATAACGAGAAGTATATTAGTATTAGAAGTTTATAATATAATTAATAGTATTAACCTCTCTTATATAATTTTAATAATAATAAAGAAAATTACTAATTAACTTAGCTTTTTACTTATTTTAATAATTATTTATACTAATTTATACTCGCTATACGAATACCTTATTAAATTAAAAATAATAAAAAAAAGAGGTTTATAATCGATATTATAGCCCTTAAGTAATTATATAAAAAGCGTAAAATACTTAAGATTTATTAAATTAATAATAAAAATAACCTCGTAAATACTTTTATAAAAGTAGTACTAAATAAGGGGTTAAAGTAATTTATAAGTAATAAAAAAGTTAATATATAAATAAAAGGATAAGTTATATAAAAAAAGTAAAAAAAAAAGAAAAAAAGGGATAACTTAATAAACGGGCCCGAGGTTAAATTATATTTTTAATTATAATAATTAAATTAAAAAAAAAAAAAAAGTTAGTATTAAATTAGAAGTTTAATTTAATTATAATATATAGCTAATTGCGTAGGGGCTAATTAAGGGCCTTATTTATAATTATTAAAGCTAGCTTAACCTACGGTTAAAACCTCTTTTTTATACTTATTACGTAGATATTTATATAGTTTAATTGATCTCTTCGTTAACCCACGGTTCGAACTAACTACCCTGTAATAGGGATACCAACAGACACATTCAACGGCTCGGACTCCTCGGGATACCCGCAAACCACTAACAACAACCATTCTCACTCCAAACCCCGCTTCCCTGAAAGAATATCTTGTCTCTACGCCTTATAGTTAGCTCTCACCAAATTCTTGACCAAATGCTCAGGTTCAAATAATGCAACACTTGCAGATCTTCATTTTCCTTCCAGTCCAGGGGAGACTAGGTCCGGATCTATACTAGGCCAATGTCCTACAATCTTATCAACCCATGCATTGGCATTGGCATTGCTTGAGCCAAGTAGATGCCTAACCGCATCGATCGCGTTCTTCGCCCACTTCTCTAAATACCACTGGTGCTCGATTGACTCGCAAGTCGCAATGAACTGCGCAAGAACCACCAGAGCCGCAGTATTCCTTTCATGCAACAGGGCGACAAACTCCTGTGACACCATTGCTGTCCACTTCATTAACCAAACAAAATCATACCGAAGCGATTTGTTGTCACGTCTAGATTGCCATAATCGTTCTTTTTTGGCCTCCAAGAGTCGAGCAGCGCCGTCATGAACCTCTTCCAAGCAGGTAATTGCAGCGGCACAGATATCAGCCTCAGATCTCTCGACTGTGCCGTCACCAACTAATTCTTCCAGACATTGTGTTCGGAGAGTTTTGTACCACTGCGAAATTGTCGGAGAAGTAGGCCAGAGCGGGAATTGGTTTGCGACGGTGGAGGTGGTGATCAGATGACGATACGCTGTCGTTTGAAAGGCCCCCGTATCGAGTCCAGCTCTGACTATGACACGCGTACCTCGAGTGGCCACAAATATCTCCATTAAGTGATCGAAGACCATTTCCAATCGGGAAGTCTCGCCCGATGCAGGCGATAAAGTTTGTGACAGGACGGTACTTTGCTCATGGTGTTCCCCATCCAGGTCGCGTTGGTTCCGGTTCAGTGAAGGAGAGTGGTCAGAGACGCCGGCGGCAGACGTGAAAGCTATCAGGACGGCCATGGAGTAAACCGGACCTGCCGGCCATGGTTGTTTGGTACGGACTGCGAATTCCTCGTTGCCGCTGAAGTCTAGAGCTTGCAGCTTGCGGCGGTATTCCGGCATGGCCTGGTCTTGATGATATCTGAAAGCACGCATATAGTCACGATGCGTGTAATTTTGATGATTGTGTTGACAGTCATCGCTGTTTGTAGATCCGTGCTTACTGGCAAGATGCAGGGCTGAGATGGCGAGCATGCCATGGAGGAGAAAGGGGCACGATGATGCGTCGCTAACGATGGTGGTCTGCCAGGCATCGATCACCGAAGGAAAGCTACTGAACGTATGTACAGTTGCCGTAGAGAAGTGACTCATCAGAAAAAGATCGAACGCCCATGATGTTGCTTTAGGGTGTTTAATGTCAAGGGTCGGGTTGTCGCACAACTGTGAGGCTGGCGGAGGAGGGTTTTGACTATCCAGCAGACTGCAGTGTTCCTTCCTTCTGATGCAATTTCCGCAAGGTGCCCTTTCATTGCACTATCAGCATGTCGGTAAGCATAGGTCTTTTGATGGGAGCTTCAATTGCGTCCGAACAAAATCTCATCATTCATTGCGTCCGATGTGTAGGGTAGCAAATTACATACTTTAACCCGACGCTGCTTGCAGCGGTCGCACCCGTGTCGGGACTTAGCCGCACTGCGTCCAGAAGGCATGCTAGGCGCGTGGATGGTGAGCTCAAGAAAAGCCAAATGAGCTCGTAGGCTTGAAATTGCGAAGCGGAAATCTCGGAAAGATTGCATGTGCTTTATGACGTGGATTGCCGGAGACTATGGTGCTCTGATGGGTTAGAAGATGATTGGAGTCTGCTGTTCACCCGTGGTTGAGATTGCGAGAAACCCGAAGTCACCACGAGCCCAGGTCTTGAGACTAACGAGATATGGACAATAGACAGGGTTAATCATCCTTCGCACTGCACCTAAGCCTCGCGTACTACCCGAGGTCAGCGCAACCAGCAGATTGCGCTGCCCCCATTTCGGCGCTAAATTTCGAGCGCATGGCTTGGGTGCTCGTGTGTAAGCGCCGCCCCGGTAAGTGCCGCCTCGGGTTTCGGATTCAACGCACACTGGTTGCTCGCGCTTGAATTGACGCTGTGGCTCTTGCTTTCTCACGTACGGTAGATGACGAGTATCATAATGCCTCTGGAGCAATACATCCGTCAGCCTGGTTTTCCACTGTCCCGCCCCATCGTAGTACGAAGCCCTAAATGTCATCGTCGCCGTAAATAATGAACAAGGCTGCGCCTTGGCATTGGCGTTTTTAGGCAGTGACTTAATCCATCGATCATTGCCAACTTCGTCAAATGCTGGGTGCTATGGGCTCGCACTCACCTCGCGTGATCCCGACGGCTCCTAGTATGACGAGGTAATTGAGTCCATCTAATGTGAGGTAGAAACATATAAGGTGGATATGCCCTCCAAGAAATCTCAGTCTCTACACCATCGACGTTATCACTACGAACTGATATTCAAGCAAAGATTCTTGCCTTCATTCAGGTCTAGCTGCTCATTACACAACCTCAAAACTTTTCCCAATATGCTCCTAACTCTCGCTTTGGCTTGTCTCGCCCCGGCAGCCTTAGTTTCGGCCTTCACTTCCGGAAGCTCTTGTCCACCATCAGAGCTTTTGGTGCGCCTTCCCCCATTTCTCGATCCAGCGGTCAACAGCACTGGAAACGCTACCTCTGGATGCCGCGCGCCGGGCTCTGGCTTTGTGGCCCCTCCTGCTGGCTTCTTCGCTGGCACCTGGTCCATTCGAAATACTTCCGGGACGTCCTACCTCACGTATGGCAACTTGCAGTGGGACCTCAGTCCTGCCATCGCCACCTGTGAGAAGAACAATACGGCAGACTGCAGTCCAGGAACTCTGGCGGGAGAGCTCAATGAAATCACCACCTGGACCCCAGCCGACAATAAAACCGCCCGCAATGGCGCTATCGGCGGCGGTGGTCGTGAAGTGGCCTCCGTCCGAGCCTACAACACCCCTCGTCGATTAAACTTTCTCACTTTGAACTCCGACTGGGACGCTGTTTTTGATAACACAATCTTGGACGGTCCTGGAAAGGGCTTTATGCAGTCTTGGTCCGTGATCTACTGGGGAATGGACGCGAAGGACCTGCCTTTCATGGTTGTCCATGAGACCCCGCCAATGTTTCCCAACGGCAACATTGGCACTACTGCCGTTCATGCAATCAGCATCAACAGAGATGGGCCGGATCATGAATCCTTGTCAGCCGTGCTGGAGGCCTTGATGGATCTGGGCAATGCTGAGTTGACTCGGGACATCAAGAAGCTGGGTACGACTAAGTGGGACGATGCTTTGAAAGGTGGCCCTGCTATCTGCGGTTCTAAGTGTATGAAGAACGAGGCGAAGTAGGATAAGATCCCAAGGACTAACACCGTTTGGTTTATGGAGTTGTTGCGAGTCATTCACTCTGCTTCCTAAGCTTAACGAAATGACACTACTGCGTTATCTAAGGTAGAAGAATCTGATATAAGTGGTGTACTAGTTCTTCAAGCTATATTTTCCACTTCTGCGCTATGCTGAGGAGGATATCATAGACCGAATACACTTCATCATATATGCGACAAAACATACGTGCTACGGTGACCTTGGAATGTAATCGAAGCTGCACCTAATAGTAAAGAACCCTTCAGAGAGAATATATGAGAGGAGATGGCTAGTGTAGCAGGCGACCGAGACAGACTCGCTGCTGAAATTGCCGATCCAAGTGACCAGTTAAGAAATATTCGGAGGGGGTCGTCCACAGCGACTTGCCCAAAGCGCGGATCACCGCGCTATAGAAATTGTCCACACAGGACCTGCCCCTGATCGAAAGTTAACTGAGTGCTTGAATATGACATCTGTTGTTCTTCAGAGAGGTCCTCAAGATAATGATACAACAGAACTCACCTACAAAACTACCTCCCGGATAGCAAAACTCATACTCTTACACCTGCTCCTCTCAATGCATCGTAAACACTAACGCAAACCCGGGACAGCTGACTTGGTGAGTTGCCTTCTCTTTCCTCATTCATAGCTTGCGTCAGATTCTTAGCCCAATGAAAGAATCCATGTCACATGAATGTTCCAGCCTCACCGTCTCATCTGCATGTGGCGGCGAATCAATAAGGAGTGCCCTTGCCCCTGAGCAGATGCTCGACACAGACTCTCAAGCCTCTGAATAAGCCTCAAGTTTGGAACTTAAATCGACAGCAATTGGAACGGATATATAATCGATAGGTGTCCACCGTAGGCTTCGAACATGATGCTCTGGACAGACTTATCTCTTCACTACACGATGTGTCGAGACGCTCCCGTGATGCCGGACGTGCAGAACTTACCTCATGGAATCACAGCCATTTTCAGCATTCACGGCAATTATTAATTAGACATAGAATGATGATAATTGCCCACAGGGCTTTGAATTCTAGATACACACGCTTTTTGGAATGTACGAGAATGAAGAATATCTACAAGTGAACAAGCCTAGGTTTAGAATGCCCTCTTCACTGAATATAGGGCACGTATGATCTCTCAACTCGGGACAAAAGGTGCCCGGTCAGATCTCGCGATGATCTTCGTTGGCGCTTAAGAGCTCTGGATGTCAGAGGTGGCGTACTTGCAGGCAGTAGAGGGACCGCTGGAGATTTCCGTGGGCTCATTGCCGGGAGTGGTACCCTTGAACTCAGTGCAGACCTCCGTGACGCTCTTGGCGACGATGTTGGTGAAGGTAGCAGTGTCGCCAAAGTTGGAGTTGATGCCTGTGAGCGAAACAAGTTAGCATAATTGTAAATGAGGAAACAGATTTGTGTATGGGAGGAGCTTACCAGCAAGGAGCTTTCCAGAAGAGGCGTTGATGTTGTCGAGAATGACGTGGCGCTCGTACGAGGACTTGCAGTTGCCGCAGCTGCGGTACAGCTTGCCAAAGGTCTCGACGGTGAATCCGCTGACGGAGAGGGTACCGGCGCCGTTGTGCTGAAGAACCTTGTCCTCAGCCCCGAAGGCTCCGCCGGAGGTGATGGTAGTGGTTTCGCCGGCATCCTGTTTCTTGATGGTGAAGGCATCCTCGCAGACGGCGGCCCACCAGACATTGTCGAGGGTGCAGCCACCGTTGCAGTGGACGCCCTCGATCTGGTTGGGTCCAATGATGACGTTGGAGAGCTTGGCGCCCTTCTCGAGGATGAAGACAGCGTCAGAGTCGTCGCCTTCGGCCTGGCCAGTGCAGGAGACACCACGGTCGAAAGCCTTCATGCCACCATCGAAGGAGGCGCCAGCGGCGACGGTCTGGGCGGCCTTGAGGACTGAGGTGCCGGAGGAGGCGGGGAGACCGGCGGCGGCGGTGCCGTTGCTGGCGCGGATCTCGAACTGGCTGTTGGTGCCGTTGCCGGGGGCGCCGGGGGCGGAGGTGATGATGGAGCCGGGGTGGCGGGTCTTGGTGGAGTGCTTGGTCTTCTTAGCCGCCTTGGAGGACTTGGTCTTGGTGGGCTTCTCGGCGCGGGCGGCGTGGTGGAGGAAGTCGAAGTAGCCGCGCTCAGCGTGGGCGATGGCGTTGCCCTGAGCGGCACCGTTGGCAGCGGGGGCGGCGGTGATGCCGAGCACGAGGGTGCTGAGGGCGATGGCGAAAGAGTACTTCATTGTGAATGTGGTTGTGTGGGTTGTTGATGGGGTTGATGTATAAGAGGCGAGGTTGAAGATAGAGAGAATAAAGGCTTGTCTACTTGAGAGAATGAAGAAATAGTTCAAGCCTGCTTGAAAGAGTGTAATGAACAAAGAAGTTGAAAAGGTTAATGAGGTGGAGGTAATGAGAACAGAACCAGCTCTTGGCCGGACATCTCGAGGTTACTTATATCGAGTGAGATGTCTGGGGTGGAACGAATTGTGTCTGCCCAGGTCCATATCTGAGTCGACATTGGAGTTACACTACTACCGAACACCCTCGTGGGCCCAGAGGCTCGTCCAGACTACTTCGGTAGTGTATTCGACGAGGCCCAATCCTGCTTCAACGCGTGCCAAGACCAGGTGCTCCATCTCCTCCGCAGTGAATACAGCATCAATCAACAGGCGAC